ATTGTGCCAATTCATCTCACTGAGGGTCTCCCTCACCCTGTTGGCCCTCTACTTCACCAAACATAATGTCCTCCTCTAGTGATTTATCCCTCCTGATGACATAGCCAAAGCAAAAATTCAGATAGTGTTCTGTTGGGACCCATAAGGTTTTCAGTGGTTGATTTTCACAAGTAGATCACCAGGCTTTTCTTCTTTGTCTGTCTTAGTCTGGAAGCTCCACTGAAACCTGTCCACCACGGGTGACCCTGCTGGTATTGGAAACACTGGTGGCATTCACAGCATCACAGCAACACACAAGCCCCCAGAGTATTACAAAATGTAGACAGCTGGTGGTTAACTACTATAATGTGAGCAAATCACAATTTTGTCATTAAACCTAATGAAAGCAACAAAAAATATCTCAACTAAGAGTAATTTTTTGTCTTCTCCCTGGTGTTCCCAAGAGTGAGGGAGGGAGAGAGATGAGAAGGTAAAAACAGTTTTGACTGGGACCAGAAGGTGGGTCCTAATGGTGGCTGGGAGCTCGTCCCAGGCAGAGGCAGACTCCCCCTGGATGGAGGGCAGGAGCCCAGGAGCATGTTACTACTCCATCCTCCCAGTTCTCTGCTCCCACTCACTCCCTGCCCCGCACACCAGCACACCCACAGCTCACCCAGCACTCTCCCGGATCCTGCTCACTTCTGTTCCCCCACACGCCACAGGCTCCTTCCCACGCCCAACCCAACCTCCACCGCACCCCTCTACCTTGACCTCTGCCCCTTCTTTCTCCCACCTATTCCTACACCCCTCTCCCTGGTCCTGCTCACCCCACCCCACCCTGCAGCACTGTGCAGCTCTGTGGCTGCAGGAGGCTCATCCCTAGCTGCACACAGGCGGGGTCTTCTCGGGCTGGGACCTGGCTTTGGGAACAGGGCTGCGTCTCAGCAGAGGAGGGGACGGGTAGGAGGTCGCCGTTCACGGAAACGGCCATGCCCACTCCGAGTCCCTGAGCCTGGAGAGTGACCAAGGGGTCTGGGGAGAAGGTGAGTGTCCCCACAGGTCAGGAGCCACCCGTGCCTCAGGAGATGGCAGAATCTGCAAGGCCAGGCAGAAAGGCCTGCTGGAGGAGGCAGAAATGCAGGAGATATTTGCACCTTCAGGCCAAGTAAACTGAACGCCCCTGCCCCTACGGCCCCTCAGGGGTCATGAACAGCTCACCAACACTCCCTCTGGAACATAGAGCAAAGGGCTGTAGCCCCAGCTCTCCATCATTCCAGCCACCTGAGTCCCGCAGGCCCTTTCTGTGTGAGGACAACAGTTTCTAACCTAAAACGAGAGACCGTTCAAACATGTGAGCATCTGCAACCACGAGTTTTCCGGACAGATAGTGAGCCTCTCGGAGCCGGCCCAGCACAGGGCCCCTGGGGGACGGGGGCAGAAACAGCACCAGACTCAGTCCTCCACCTCGGTCGGGGGGCGGCTTCACCGCCCCTGCGCAGTGCCTTCTCCTGCCCTCCTGCACCCTCCCGACCTTGACTCACTCCCTCAAGCCCCTCTGCCCTCCCAGCAGTGGCCTGCCCACCTGTCCCCTGCCCTGAGGTTTCCCTCCCCCAGGCATTCTCACCTCCGGGATCCTCCCCAGCCCAGCACACCCCTGACTCAGCAAGGACCAGACCTCGAGTCAAGCCTGTATTGCCCCCAGCCACGGTGATGTGCTGAGCACCAACCTGGCCCTCCTGAAACCCTTCACTCAGGGACCCTGGACTGGCCCTCTCATGGCCCCAGTGCCCCTCCACGTCATTGTACACCCTTCGGGACACAGCGCCACCATCTGCTCCTCTCATCAGAAGCGTGGCCTCCTGAGACTTGCCCTGACACCGCTTTCCCTGCTGGTGGCAACTTGTGTGGCCACGGTGTATCTGCATCCTTGGTGCCTGGCACCGTGCCTGAGTCAGAGTAGGAGCAAAAGCCAAACCTCACACGCCAAGCAGCTCTGCCATTGGGGATGACACAGGGTGAGAAGCTCCAAGCTACTTAATTTGAGAAGGTGCCAAGCCTGGCATCTAACTCAGATTGGGGCGAGGGATTCACCCAGGTGCAGGATGGTGACCAGGCAGGAGGAAGGGGCGGGAGCCGAGGGGGCCATGGGACGCAGAGGTGGGGTCAGGAGCTACCTGGTGCGCACAAGGGAGAGGAGGCGCAGACGCGGGACGGGGGCGCCCTGCAGCCGGCAGGGGCCAGATCCACTTCAGGGGAACCTGGCCAGGTTTTGTCCAGAGGCAGGACTCCATCAGTGGTCAGAACAGCGATAGGGCAGAGCAGAGGGGACGGACGTGACCGGTCAGAGCAGCAACCACTTAGAGACCACTGGATGTTGGCGGTAGAGGGGGTCAGAGGTCACGGAGGGCGATGGGACTCCCGGCATGCCATCCACTGAGCTGATGAGCAGGGAGAGAAGTGTCCTCTGGGGACTCCAGAGGAGAAGCAGGAGGCAGGCCCGAGAGCACAGGACAGGGGCTTTCAGAGACAGCTGAGCGGCAGCACGAGTTCAGGCAGCTAAAGGTTTATGCCAAGGGTGGGGACTCACGTGACCCGGTGAGTATCTGAGCAACAGTGGTCATGGCAGAGAGAGGCTGGTGTTCCCAGTATCCCCTGAAGCAGGCAACTGAGAAGTGGTTTCATTTCTTATAAATTTATTACATAATAATATTATAATAATTATTATCAATAATAATAATATAAGAAACATAGATCTCTGTGGGGTGTATCACAACGTTATAGGGTCAGGAGGCCTCAGGGTTGGAGCAGGGGTGAAATCCCCAGTGGAACTCCATACAAAAGGAGGGGGGAAGTCAAACTGACCCTGTAAGTTAAAAACCCAAATGGAACGGAACCAAAAACCCACAGGTGAGAGAGACCGAGTGTGTATGTGACAGTCGGTTACAGTGACTGCTGCTGTGTGTGACCTGGTCTATTGGGACGGGATAACTGGGTGTGACTCTGTGTGCCAGGACTGGGCTGGGGGCGGTGAGGTGTGCTCCAGGACCTGCACAGACCGGCGTGCCGGGCCCCTGGGCTGTGAAAACTTCTGTTTTCTTTTTTTTTAAGTTTTTATTAAAAAAAGCTAGAAATACAAACAGAAACTTGTGAGTGACGTGGATGGAGCTGAGTCCAGACTCCAAACCCTAGGTTTAAAAACATCCCAGGGCCCCCCATCCCACAGGTCATTGCTGAGTGTGGGGAGTCACAGTAAGGGGGGCTGGGCGCCCTCAGGGGTCCTGGCCTCACCCCAGGGCTTTTGGTGGCCTGACTCTAGGGGTCCCTCTACGACCCCCTGGAAGCCCAAGGGGGGGACTGCCTCCAAGGGGTCCTTAGGGCCACCAGTAAGCAGCAGGGCTTCACCGAAGAGCCCAGCTCAGGCTGGGGCAGGTCCCCAGAAGGACAGGCCGGGCGAACGCAGACCCCAGTTGCCGAACAGCCTCTGGGCTTTCTTTGGAAGAGGAGAGACGGGGCTGTTTTCACAGGCACTACCCCTGCATGCACTCCGGCACTCACGCCCACACAAACACATGCGCACCCGTGCAGCACTCCAGCACACACACCCCTGCATGCACTCCCGAGCTCACGCCCACACATACACACCTGTGCGCGCCCATGCAGCACCTCCAGCACACGCACCCCTGCATGCACTCCTGTGCTCACGCCCACACACACCTGTGCACGCCCATGCAGCACTCCAGCACACGCACCCTCGCACGCACATCTGTGCACGCACCCCCACGTGCACCCATACACACTCCAGCGCGGGCAACCCGGCGCGAACCCCCACGCGCACCCCACACGCACCTATGCACAAACTCTGGTGCACGCACCCCTGTGCAAACTCATGCTTGCAACCCCGCACGCACCCCTGCTCACGCTTCCGCAGCCACCGCACGGAGTCCCAGGGCTGCCCCTCAGAGCCACTCGCCAATCCAGCACACATACGGTCCCACGCGCTCAGTTGCACCCAGAGTTGCACAATCGCACGGCAGGAACACGAGACCCGGGTCCGAGGCAGGGAGGCTTCTCTGCTGTAGTTGCCCAAGAGGATGGGGGCGAGGCTGGACCCCTCCTCGGAGAGAGACCCTGTGAGGGAGATGGCTGGGGGCAGAGGGCCAGGGCATTTGCCCTGCGGCCCTCCCCCAGGGCGATGGTCTCCCGGCCGTCCCGACCCAGCAGGACCCGGCTGCCTGCCGCCCCTCCCCCGCGCAGCACCTGAAGGGTCGGTGGGGACACTACAGCTCAGCGGGGGAAGGGGGCCGAGCCCCGGCCCCACGTCGGGGCACTAGGCCCCTGGCCAACCCCAGACCAGCTGGAGCGCCCCCCCACCCCGCCCCCGTGTGGGGTCGCAGTGGCAGTGAGGGGCCCGGCTCGCGGCGGGACCCAGCCGGAGATGGAAGACTTGGCGGCCGCAGAGGGACGGAGAGGCTGGAGAGGGGCGGGGAGGGGGAGCGATTACGGACAGAGATATTTGTTCCTTTTCTCGTTCCAAATATTGAGTGGATTAAAATATGCAAAACAGGGGGCTCCTTAACCCCTAACCGAGAACCCCGTCTCCCCCCTCCCGCCCCCCCCCCCCAGCCATACCATATCTGAGTGACTGACCCTGCCAATTGGAGAAGGAGGTGAAAAGTATTGTGCCCCCAGACGAGCAAACACCAAGGCGTGTCCTGACCTCGCATGCTGGACTAGGTCCCCCCTCTGGGAGAGTGGCCACAGGAGCTGAGCGGGAGGGGTCAAGCCGGTTTGGCCCCTCCCGCGGCCCCCCCAGCCTCCTGGACCTCACCCTCCTGACCGTGTGCGGGATGGGGCTCGGTGGCCGGGGAGGGGCACTAAGCAATGTACAGGGCAAGTCTCCGAGCAACAGTAAACGGGACAATTCATGCAACATTCCTGGCCCGGCGCCGTCGTGGGGGGCAGGCCGAGCCCGCGGCCCGGGGTGGGGGGCCCTGCCGGCAGGGCGCTGCGGGGTGTGGGCGTCAGCTGCCGTCCAGCTGTTTGAGCGCGCGCTCGATGTTCATGCGGTGGCCCACGCGCGTGACGCCCAGCTCCACGAAGTCGTCCTTGGTGAGCGCCGGCAGATGCGCACCCTCGATCTCGTGGTCCTCGAAGCGGTCGCGGTGCTCGCCCAAGTGGATGCTCTCCAGCCAGTCGCCCACGTCGAACTTGCTCCAGAGTTGCAGCGGCTTCTGCTGGAAGGGCCGCCGTGGGCCGGGGGCGCTGGAGACGGGCGCAGGCGAGGGCAGCGGCGAGGGCGAGGGCGAGCGGCTGCGCGCGCTCACGCTGCGCACCACGAAGCGCACCTCCTTGGGCTCGTGCGGGATGGAGAGGCTGGACGACTTGAGGATGGTGGGGGGCGTGAGGCCAAAGGGCCGCCCAGCGCCCCCCGCGCCCGCCCCTAGCCCCTCCACCCGCTCCAGCGACGCGGGCTTCACCGGGCTCGGGGTGCGCCGCGCCACCGGGTAGCGGCTGCCAGGCCGCACCGTGTAGGAGGCCCCGCCGCCCGGGCCCCCGGGGCTGCGCTGCGCTGAAATGGAGCTCAGCTCACCGAGGCTGCTGAAGAGCCTGCGGAGGGAGAGCGGGTCAGGGCAGGTGAGGGACGCAAGCGAGGCGGGGGAGGGCGGAGGGGACGGGGCGGGGAGGGGCCAGAGGGACGCGAGCGCTGGGGCAGGCTGGGAAAGAAGGGCGGGATCCTAGTTTGTTTGGCCCCGGGGGTGGAAGCCGGGGCCCTGCTCTGGGGGACCCCCGGACTGAATGGAATATGGGAAGGATAAAGGTTGGCTGCCCCTCTCCACTCCACCTGGCTCGAGAGTAGCTCATCAGAGGAAAAGGCTGGCTGCCCCCTCCCACCAGCCTTGGGCACGAGCTGGGCACTGTACCACCCATCCATGCCCTGGACATAAGGCTCAGGCAGTACCCTTCCCCACCCCGCTTCCCCAGCACTGCTCTCTGCGGAGACCCGGAGACACCCGGGGCTGGCGGCAGGGCTGGCTGAGTCAGTGGCAAAGGCTGGCGGCAGCAGAGACTGAGCAGGTCCACGACAGCGGCCCCCCCAAGACAGGCCCAGGTGCACAGAGAACAGCAGCACGTGCGAGACGAGTGTAAGACAGGTGCAGGACAGGCCCCAGACAGCAGCACACCCACGCCAATGTGAAGACAGGCCACCGGGCAGTGCCCAGGCTCAGCAACACACGTTGCCAGCATGCATCGGTGGTGGCCTGCTCGTGGCAGGGACGTAGCAGCACCACCATGGGACACACACACTCCCACACAAAGGACAGATAGCACTCACATCCTAACCTCTCCAAACAAGACCCCAGACCTCCAACCCCACCCTTGCCTGGCCTTGGAGGGAGGCCTGTCCAGGGGACTGTCCAGAAAAAACCCACTCCTGTAATCCCCCCATTTCCAGCCCTATGCCCTGCTGCGGCTGGGGCAGGCATCAGGGGGCTGTCAGGGGCACCGAAGCCCCCCGCAGCCAAGCAGAGCAGATCCTGGAGGCCAAGCGCAGCCACGTGGACGGTGAGAGGCATGGGATGAGTGCTCACTTACACAGCCGGCGCTCGGGGCCACCGCGCAGCTAGACAGCGCAGCCACATGCAGATGGGCAGGAAGAGAGCAATGAGAGAGAGTGTTAGCGCAGGCGGCCACACGGCACCCCTGGCCTGACGCTCCGCCAAGGGTGGAACTAGGGGCTGGGATGGGAGGGAGGACTCGGGGCGGGGGGGCATGGCTGGGAGGGTGTTTGAGAGTGTAGGCCAGGGTTTAGCGTGTCTGAGTGGATGCTTGATTTGCCCCTGGTGACCTGGGCACGCTACTCAGTTCTCTAGATCTGGTGTGTGAAGTGTAGCGCCCACCCACGAGCACACATCGCCTCGCTTCGGACCCACCAAGAACGGTCTCCAGCAGCAAACCCGTCTCCTTCTCCTTGGACCTGCCCAGGCTGGGTTACGGACACCCCTCTGGGTTCTCCAACCCACCTCAGTTTCCCTCCCCTTGAAGCATCTCCCACATCTGCGGTCACCCTGTTCCTGCAGCTCCCAGCTCTGTCTCTCCCACTAGACCTTGCTGGGAGGAACCATCCCTTGTTTCCAGCCCGTCCCAGGCTCCTTCCCGCAGCCTTAGAGGGCATGGAGGTGCCACCTAGTGGGTACATGGAGGCTCCCAGGGAATCAGCCTGCAACCTCCAGAGAGGAGCGGCCAGAATATGAACCTCTGGCCCCTGAGCCCTCACGAAGTGACCCTGGCCTGGGGCCACAACCCCAAGGCTGCCGCCTGGGAAGGCCCTGGGCTCTCCAGGGACCCTGGCCGTAGCCTTCTGGCACTACATAGTGAGACCTGCCAGAAAGTGGGGCTGGTCTCAGGACAGCAGGGAAGGAAGACCTGTTCCCACTGGGAGGACTGGGAGTTGGCGGCAGAGGCGGGGGGTCCACTCCTACCACCTCCCAGGCGGGCTGGCGATGGAGACACTCTCCCTGGAATGCTGTGCCCACCCCCAGCACCAGCAGGGAGTGGCCAGGCACCACCAGGCCCCATGTCCACTCCTCCCCTTATCGCAGGGAACAGGGACTGCGTGGTACCCGGGGCCGGAACCACAGCCGCATCCGGCCCCAAGTTCCAAGTGTCAGCACCATCTCTGCCCTCGTCCATCCATCCATCACTGCCCTCAACTGTCTGACCCCTCTCTCGGCCAGGCTCCGGCCACCAAACGGCCAAATCTCAGCACCTGCCAGTCTCCCAAAAGGCTTCCAGGACACCGGATCCCTCACCAGCACCACCAACCCCGGAACTCCACAGGAGCCTCCTCGCCAGAGGACAGTCCGGATCACTTCCATCCATCCCAATCATACACAACATTCCTCCTGGGCTCCATGGCCAGTGAGGCCTGGCCCCCTCCTCTGCCCTCCACCCTCTCTCTCTCCTTGGTCTGCACTTTCCTGGGGACTGGGCAACCCACTCCACCCTGCAGGAATTGCAGACATGCCCAGGGACAGCCAGATCTGCCAGGGTCCAGGCCTGCTGTTTGGTCCCTGTCCCCATCAGTGAACGGCACCCATCCTCTGTCTCCCATGTTCTCTTCACTCCCACAGCCTCCTCTGGAAACAGAGGCCAAGGACAGCATGTGGGCTGCACCCCAGTTCCCCCCAGAAGGTGAGCTGAGCGTTTCCACAAGTTACCGAGCCTCGGTCCATGGGGGCCACCTAACTTGCACAGAGACCTCTCAGGCTGCTGAGTACCTTGTGGCTAAACAGTGTCAGAGCCTGGCCGGATCAGGGAACACCCAGCTGACCGCCAAGTGCAGCCTCCAGGAGACATGCCTCAAGGCCTCCGTCAGGATCCCTGCTAGGGGGAAAGGGCCTTGCCTGGACTTCAGAACACCCCTCACTTGGGCCTTTCTCCAAAAGCTTCACCACGAAAAGAGAGGTGGGTGCCAGCCTGGTCTCCTCTACGCTGGCGCCCAGACTCCATGGGGGAGGTAAACCTCGCTCCTGTGGCTGGAAGTCGGGGTCTGGGGGCGGGGGGGCACGCACCGCCCAGGTGTGAGGGCGAGAAGGAGGCATAAGAGGGTGGAAGAAGAGTGAAGAGAACCCAGGGCTGGGCAGAGAGGACGGGCAGGCATGTGGGGGAGGGGGAGCTCTGGTGCAGCTAGGTCCAGCCACACCTGACTTGAGCTCACAACAAATGTACTATTCATTCACAGGCAACTGCTGGGTAAGCGTGGGTCTCCGCTGTTTCTGCCTGTGAGCCCTGTGTGTGCAGTCAGAGGGCAGGTGGGGTCAGCAGATGCCCACCATCGCTGGCTGAAGGGATCTCTCAGGAACAGCAATTTACTGTCCAGAAGTGGAGAGAACATCATTGCCCATCTAACAGAGTAACACTGCCCAACGCCTCCTCCAGCGCATGTACTTCCCCACGGAGGAAGCTGAGAGCTGGCACAGGTGCACGGCCGTGCGCCCAGAGTTAATGCCAGGGTAAATGACAGGGCTAACACGTGGCCTTCTTGGGCGGGAATCAGGCCGACTGACCCCAATTCGGTGTCAGGGAATGAAGCAAGTTGCTAAAGTGGGCAAGGGCCACACCATGCAGACGCCTGCTCTTTGGACTGCCGGTGGTCTCTCCCCTCTGCGGGGTGGGTGACCTTGGCCTCGGGCCTGTCCCCCCAACTTTGGTGAGTGGTTCATAGGGGGCAGAGAACACACACTAGCCCAATGAGAGGCAGGGGTTTGGCAGGAATGACTGAGAAAAATAAGCCCCCGTTCCATTGGGATGTGGATGACAGGATGTGAAGGCCAGGGCTGGGGCCTTGCCCTTCCCCATGTGACCAGAGGCCAAGTGCTACAGAGGATGGTGGGACGGTGGAGAGAAGGGGCCATTCCAGGAAAGTGCCAGCTACATGGCCACCTCGCTCCTGCCCTTGGGAACAAGCAGAGTGCAAGCCCCGGGCTGCTCGACCAGTGTGGGACCATCTGTCCTCCACTGCCTTTCCCTGAGCCGCCTCTCTGGACCTCAGACCACAAAAGACAGCACATGCATTTAGCTTCCTTCTTCATCCGCTTAACAAGCATTTATTGAGGGCCTGCCACATGCCGGGCAATGCACCACACACGTCCAACAGCGGTGAGCTTCCTCTGGGCCACGGGGCAAAGCGACATGAGGGCTGCAGGGGAAGGGGAAGCGGTCAAGGCTCCCTGGAGGCCTAGGCAGGAGCCTGGTCGCCCTACCTGAACACACATCCTCACCATCACGCCCACCCTAAGGGCACTTTCTACTCTGCGCTACTAGGAAGAGGGCTTTGGTGTTTGGCTTGGAGCAGGAAGAGGCTAATGGGGGAGGGGGCCACAGGGCAAACTCTGGAATGGCGAGATCTGAGGGGGGTCCTGGGACCCTTAAGAGAGGCACATGAACTCCTGAGGCCCCCACTTCCTCCTGAGTCCTGAACAGGAAAAGGCAACATGGTCAGGGTCCTGGGAGTGAGAACTCTGCAAGGTGCTAGAGCTCCAAGTCCCCCGACCCTGCGCTCTGCCCTCACGGGCAGACAGCAAAGGGCCCGCTGGCTGGTCTTCAGGGCAGCAAGAAGGGGGACTGGGAGGTGGCATTCCGCACACGTCCCCTAAAGCCACGAGGGGAGACCCATGGGGCACAGGTGGCAAAGGCAGTCTGTGAAAAGGCAGATAGGAGGACAGACGAGCTCTGCCCTCGGCCGGCGCCCACAGTGGGAGCCCATCCCTCCCACTCGTGTTCATGCAGCCACAGGCTGAAGAAGCTCCCCTAGCAGCCCCCGCCCCCTGCCAGCACCCCCACATGTCCAGGGCACAGTGCGGCCCTGTCCCACCCTGGGTGGCGGGACAGAGGATGGGGGGATGGAGAGTGAAGGATGATGAGGTGGAGGGGCAGGGAGTCCATCTGGCTCCTCAGCAGGGGGCCCGTCCCAGGGCTCCCGGGCAGGTCCCAGAGGAGGAGGAAGGTGCTGGCGAAGCCCCCAGGAAGGAAGGCATCCGCACATGGCAGCCACGCAGCCCTGGGGAGGCCACGGAGAAGCCAGACAGCTGGGGGTGCACCCAGAGTGGACTTGGAAGAAGCCTGAGTGGGAGCGAGTGCCCGTAGGAACCTAGCAAGGAGCCACCAGGTGCTCAGACCTGCCGGGCCTCTGCGCCCAGCTCCTTGGTTCAGCACCACAGGGGAGCAGATATATCTCACAGGCCGGCCCCAAAGAACCTTCTATCTCAAAGAAAGCCAGGCCAGGTAGGGGACAGAGAGGTGGAACATGCTGGGCAGTGGAGAGGAAGGGGGAATGGGTGAACAAAATGGGCCATGGGGGACAGAGGGTGGGCCATAGACGTGGACGGGTCCCCTCCCCACATATCCCTGCTCACCGAGCTGCCGCAATGGGCGACTTCTTGGCAGGGTCCAGCAGGCCACCCAGGCCGCCGACCGGCTCTTCCCCCAGGGATCGCGTGTCCTTGTTCAGCTGCTGAAGGCGAGAGCTGAGCTCACTGATCACAGTTGGCTTGTCGTCTTCGGGCCCAGGGAGCCCCCGGCTCTCCACGGGGTCCCCCCACAGCTTGGACCTTCTCTGGAAGAGGTAGCGAGGGCGGGCAGGCCCGGCGGCAGAGGCCAGCCCCGCAGAGGCGGCATGGTGCTGCTGGGCCATTAGCTCGCTGTCAGAGGACTGCTTCAGCAGCGGGTCCCTGAAGGTCACCGGCCCCTTCCCCAGCGGGGACTTGAGCTTGGGCTTGGGAGGCACTGGTGGCTTCTCGAGTAGAAAAGTGTGTCCGTCAGCGAAGGAAGTGTGTGTGTCGGTGAGCTCCCCGCTCTCCGAGCTCAGGGTGGACATACTGGACACGGTGGAGATGGTGCTCGTGGTCTCCAGGTGGGGGTCGCTGGAGCTTCGTGTGTCGGCCTCCTCCACGCCGGAGTCGGCCGCGGACTCAGGGGCCGGGGGAGGCTCACTGCCTGGCTTCCCTGGGGCCGGGCCAGGCCCCGCGGTGGGCAAGGGGCCTGGGCCAGGGAGCGGGGTGGCCAGCAGGACCCCATTGGCAAACTCTTCGGGGGGCGGCACCAGCCCAATGCGGGCAAGCTCCTCCCGGGTCTCCTCGTCACTGGAGGACAGCTGGGCCGGTGGTAGGTTCACAGCAAACACCAGCTCGGGCTCTTCCTCTGAGCTGCCCTGGCCTGTCCCGGGGTCAGCCGGGGTGCTGCTGGGGGGCTGCGCCCGCGGGCTGGGCAGGGGCTCTGCCACTGCGGCTGCTGACTGCATGGGGGCCGGGGCCAGCTCCGGGGAGCCCGGGTGCTCCTCTTCGGCCCCCAGCTCGCCAGGCTCCTGCCCGTTGCTGGTGGCATGCACAACGATGAGGCCTGCCGGGCGCTGTAGGGACGTGTCCAGAACACTGAGGATCATGGACTTCTTGTCCTCAGGTGACTTCCGATCCTCCCGGGGGGCCTTCTCGGGCTCCCTGCGTGCGGGCACGGGAACCCAGGCCGGGCTCCTCGGAGAGAAGACTGGCGAGGCCAAGGCCCCTCGTTCCGAATCTCGGGACTGGACATCAACAAACAGCGGCCCAGGGCGGTCGGCATCGGGGCTGTGCACAGGTGTGGGGGACCGGGAGGGTGCCTGGGAGGCCAGGGCCCGCTCGCGGGCGGCCAGGGCAAGAGCAAGAGGCGAGCTGGGGTCTAGTGGCTTGCCGGTGAGCGGGTGGATGAAGGTGGAGCCAGAGGGCCCGATGCTGGGGCCGCTGACCAATGGCTTCAGTGCGGACACGGGAGAGGGCAGCAGCAGGTCGCGGCCAGGGGCAGCTCCTGCGCCCAGGACGCGCTCGTCGATAGAGCGGGAGGGCTGCAGCGAGGGCAGGTCGCCGCTCGGGGGACTGCCCTCGATGGCGCCCACCGACAGGAAGACGGTGGAGCGGCGCCGTTCCTCCAGCCTCCGGTCCTTGGCTGGGCCCGGGCCGCCGAACGCCAGGCCAGGGCCGTCGCCGGGGCTGTAGTCGAGGCTGCCGGGTCGGGGCCCGCGGTGGGTCGGGGAGGGATCGCGGGCGAAGCTGCCGCTTCCAGGACCGCCGGTGCCGCTGAACGCCAGCGCCGCGCGCTCCTGCGCGTCTTCCACCTGCAGCTGCTTCACCAGCGGGCTCTTACGGCGCTGCGGCTTGGACGGCGCAAAGAGGCTGGCGCTGAAGGCGCCCAGGTTGGCGTAAGGGCTGTCGGGGCCCGGCGGCCGCGGGCGGCGCTTCAGGCGCTCGGGCGGGGTGGCA